ACACTTTCGTCGAGGACGTTTCAGAGTTGCCATGGCACTCAAGAACACATCATTTATGAGGCATGACTGGCCCTAATGCTGCCCGTAACTCGCCAACCCCCACGCGCTAACCACCGTATACACCAAACGCAAAAGAGAGGGCAAGAGCACTTCGCGAAAAATCCGATTCGCACAGTTGCGTCAAGTCCGACCGAGTGCATCTGCAACCGGTTTTTAAGCCTCTTACGACCGCGCCGCGCAGCAATAATGACGTTTGTAGGTGGCTTGAAACCCGGGTGTCATAGCAGTACGTAACAGGATTAACGTCGAAAGCCGTTGCAGTCGCACTTGACACAAGTTTGTGAACCAGTCTTAATACCGCCGCAAGTGTTCCTTGCAAGAACAGGCAAAATGGTCAATAAGGAACTTCCCTGGGAAAGTTGAAGCCAAAGTAAGGTAAAAAAAGGAACATTTTTTATTTGGCGTTTTGAGTGAAAGCAAATATAAGAGAAAGAAAAGATCATGTGTTGCGGAAAAGCCTCCCCTTCAGGTTGGCCCACTCGTCGTAAATCTGTGACGTCACAACTCGGAGCGCTCGGGGTTTAGCTCTAGGTGGTGTTGACCAAGCACGCAGGAACGGGAGGAGCAGTAACAGGTGGTGTGATAAAGGGCGCGGAGCGTAGAGGGGTAGAAAGATCAAGAAAGTGAAGAAAAACATGAATTGTGGAAAGAGCGGGCGGAACGCGGAGGAGTGGAAAGTTCAGAAAATTGTGCTTCGCCCCTTTTGGTGACCCAGACAATTCAGCACCAAGGCGTTGTATCCGGGTGAGGCTAAAGACAAACGCGCTCAGTGTCACAAGAAGACAAGGCGTGATGTAATCTGCTTCCATACAAACCACTGTCCTACACATCATTGGTATTAAAAGTACCGCCCACTCCAGGCACTGAAAGACTAATGGTCATCCTGCCCCAGCACCACCCAAACTAAGAGCACGAACTACCCTAAAAAGTTACCGCATGTAAACATGTTTCGCAGAATCACCAAACATGCTGCTAATTCCTTAAAAGAGGCTTTGGGCGTAAGAATGATGAAGTACTCTAATGTGCAACTCGCTACCTGGTGCATTGCCAAGAGGTAGCAAAGCAAGCACAACCGGCTTTTGAGGCCGCTAGTAGACAAGAACGAGCTGTAAGAAGAACAAATGCATTGACATCAGTGGTCATCCTCGAATAAAATCGTTTTTTGGACTTATATTTTTTCTATTTTATTTTCGTGCCAGTGTAATTTGTGTGCACTTATTTTAATTAAGAATAAGCTATTTTTTGGCTCTCCGTGATGCCGGCCATCCCTAGATATTTGATTTGTGATTCTTTCGCTTCTTTGTCAACGTAATAATGAGAGACTTGAACATGGGTTGTGTGCGACTCCAGCCGAGTCGGCTACACATACCAAACATGACAAAAATTCACATAATGCGTGTAAAAACGACACATACACTAGATGGTCTCACTAGAAGATCTCATTAAGACTCTGTAGTGCATATGTCGTTTTTACCCACAGTCTCGAAGTTCTGCATGCTTATATTCACCAGCTTGTTTGCGCCGTTATATTCAGTGCGCATTATTTTATTTTTAATCTAAGGTCAAGCTCATGGAACAATATAGCTGCGCGTTAAATCATCTACGGTTAACGTAAAGAACGCTGTAGGTAGCATGTGGAATCTAGTAGGATGCGAAGAATAGAAATTATGTTCACATAAAAACATTAGTTTGTAAATTATGCATGACGCTTCTTAGAGTCAAAATGTCGGTTTGAGGATATATATGAAATGCAAATTATTCTTATTAGAATCAGAGTTCTGTGTACATGTTAAGTAGATATACACTTGGTAAAGTACCTGCCAAGTTAGCTCTATCAGAATCGATTACATCCACGCTTCGAAGAAGGAAACCTTCATCGAATGTTCTTTTTTGTACTAACCAGGAACACAATTCTTCACAGAATCGTCCGCGAGCCTGCTTCGATTTTGGTTAACTAACCTTTTGTCCCGTTCCATTTTCGGGGCATTCGGATCACGCATATTCTCCCTCGAGTTTGGCAAGTTGTACGCCCCTGTCACTTTTTCGTTCTATATAACGCCGAGTTTTTGCCTAACACCAAAAAACTGAAGCAAAAAAAAAAAAAAAAACACTCAATTATGTAAAAAGATATATACCCCCCTCCCCCCCCCCCTACCCCTCCCCCCCGGCGAAGAAGAAAACTAAACAAAACAAGAACACTTCGACAGTTATTTAATTTCTGCGTGTTGTGCTCAGAATTATTAAGAGCAAAGATTGATTATGACACGCCAAAATTAAATACACAGTCCAAGAGGGCGCAGAGGTTGGTCATTTGATTTGTTGGAGTATCTTTTGGAAAGCGCCAGGTTTAAATACTGAAATAAAGGTTAAACCGCAGACGAGATGGTGCAGCATTATAACAGTTAACCTTGAAACAAAGAAAACAAAGAGGACGTACACACCACCATCTCATTACCAGTACAGCAAACACCTGTAAATTCATTTTCACAAACATCCTTCTCCTCTTGTCATCTTCCAATTGAGCGATGCAGATCCTAATGGCATGCGCGCACAACACTGAGAAAGCCTCGAGCACTTGGAAACAGGTCTGAAACCAGTTTCCGAATAACAAGTGCTTGCGGGACAAACTTTATTCACAAAATAAACAAACAGCCGAGTGACGACGTACTTGGGACTAGACAGACAAACGCTCTCGTGTATTGTCATTCAAGGTCAATGAGGGCATGCTAATAGAATTTCCGGCGCTCGTAATCTCAAGTGTGACGTAATCACCCTCTTAAATTGACAATTTTCTATGCGAAGCACAATCGTCTGCTTTTAATATAAATCCCTAAAAATAAAGTGGCGAATAATTTGCAGCTTTTAGGGTCGCAGCTAAAACTCATGCATGGAAAAGTAGAAAAAAGAAAAGAATATGCAGTTGTTAGTCTGCGCGCATTCATGTACCTTCTGTTTCTCCTCATCTCCATGTAACCCGTTGTTTTTCTTTCATTTTCTGGTCACGCGTATGTTCTGTAGAATTTCGCAGCGCAGCACATTTTGCAAGTCGCAGCTAAACTCACCACAAGGTCAAAGATGAGGCCCCTTCGCAGCGTTTATGCCGAAACAAACTCATAAAAGCGTAAACAGATCCCTGAAAAAAGGCGGCGAGAACTATACGCACTGACACTCAACAAAAGGCAAAAAATAAACCAAACATTTTCACCTATTTTTTGTGGGATTTGTTTGCGTTTTTATGAGTGTGTTTCGGCTGAACCCTGCGGGAAAGCCTCCCTTTCAGACCTTGTGGCGAGTTTAACTGCGAGCATTCTAGCTTATAATTCGCACCACTTTCTTTTTTTCTTGGGCGCGGGGGGGGGGGGGGGGGGGGGGGAGGATTGGATTGTGTTTCTATGAGTGTGTTTCTGACTGAACCCAGCGGGGAGGTTCCTCCTTTGATTTTGGGGCGAGTTTAGCTGCGAGCCGGTTTCTCCTGACCACACACCCAAAATAAGTGGCCACCTGTCATTGTGCTTTTAATGAGGTATGCACGTCACGTGACATGTGACCGGACTTGGGGTCTTGAGTCTCGACGACAAAGAATGTTTTGTAACCAAACCTGATGAGGCTTGACTCGGGTCGAAACGTCGACCAATATGTGATAAAACTCCACTAAAAGCTTCGAAGTACGTTTACTCTCCTATACACTTTTCGTCGTCCTACAAAAGTCTTCCAGTGGATTCCCCAGGAATTAAAATTAGGGGGGTGTCTAAATTTCTAGGGAGGAGGGGGCGGGGTTAGGAGAAGGAATTGAGAATGGAGGAGTCGTTGCGAATTAAGGGGGTGCCTTCAGAAAAACAAGTCGGGTGTACACTGCCCCTAGGGGGTGTGTAGAAAAATCACTGTGTCAATATTTAAACAAATGGCCAAGGCCAGCAACATCTCGAAGTTCAAGAACAGCGTGCCCAAGAAAACGACAATGTTGTGCGCTTCCCAGAATACATTTTCCTGACTTTCGTACACCTAAAAACTTCAATGGCGTTGAGGCGCTCACCGAACACAGCAGGCGTCACAGCCTAAACCTAGAATAGTTATTTATATCGGATTATTTCAGCGTTGAGAGCTCGAAATAGATGATATGCTTCAAGTCTGGGTTGGTCAATGTTGCGTAAAATTGTTTCAATCAGTCGGCTTAATACTCAATAAATTACTCGCTTGGTTGGCCTGGTCGTCAGAGAGGAATAGGAATAAGATTGTAAGCTAATACAATTCCTACTCATAAACAAAACACGCCAGAGACAGCAATTTTGATTGGGTAATAGTTTCAACGTTGCTAAGCAAAAGAAAAAATATTTTGTTCCCAAAAACAATACTTTTTTTAAAACCCGTTTGAACTGTGGTGCACAAAATGCCTTCAATTTATGTTTCAGACCATGCGATTATTGTAAAACTAATATTAACTTCAGAACCCGAGTAGAAACACTCTTTGGAGAGTTGAAGTATGCTCTATTTTCGCTTTCTGGCGACCTGCTCAGTTACGCTTTCCCTAAAGTCAACACTCAGTTAACAAGAAATAATATAACCGGCTGCTCTCACTGTCTCTTTGTGCACAAATTCAGATAATCAACTGAATCAACTGTACCGCGAAGAATTTAGAAAGAGGAATTGTCCAAAAATGGTACCTTATTGTTTTCGCGTGTGTTTGACTGATTTGTACAAAAGAACTAGAGTATGGTAGCAATATCCTAACGCTTTGCATTTCCTTCGTTTAATCATGGTAAAACTAACGAAATGTTTTACACCGGCCACTCTTCCCTTACAGTCATTCTGTGTGTTTTCACTTTATAATGTTCTAAAATGATGTGGCTAAGTACCGAATATTTCAAAAGAAAATAAACTTAATGACTGCTCGTAACCTATCTGATTACATTCAACATGTTCTGATATTTAATATATTCCAGCTTGATGAAATGTGGTTTAAACGAATTGCTGGATTTTGGACAGAACCCACACTGGAGCTTTATAAGATGCAGAATTACCTCTCTGGAAAGGTAAAGTATATATGTTTTTATATTTACAATGAAAGATAAAAATATTTAATTTGAATGTCTCTAGTGTGAGCCTCCCATCCTCAATGGGAGGCTTTTTTGTGATCAGTAGCGTCAATTATCTTGGTGGAGATGGGGGTAGGGCCGGCTATTGTGTGATAATACATTGACTGAGAATGACCAATCATGCTCAGTGTATTTTTAAAATACTTGATAGCAAGATATTGACAGGAACGTAAAGAGACATGGGATGCAAAACCTCTGATTGTTGGAGACGTTAAAAGCTTCCAGAACAAACGCCTTCAACGAATCGGCGAATCAGCTCGCGATCTCGCGCTTATCGGCGTGTGCTGGTTCGCCGACCCTTAAACGTTTTATTTTGGCGATCTTTAACGTGCCCGTCTGAGAGGGGCATGCCTCATTATTTATCTCATAATTACATTACTGGCAATTGGTTTGGTGTAACAAGAATAAACTAAATATTGACAGTTTATGTATCCGGCAAGAGAGTTGTGTAGTCAAAAGGGCATGCCGTAGCTACCCAGATGTTCATTCTCATAAGGCAATACGTTTTGCTGGCTGAACTTTACCAAAAATTGTTCGGACGGCAAAGTATAATAATTATAATAATATTAGAAAATTCACCCATTGGAACGAGAATAATTTTATATACGATTTATTCCGGAAAAAAGATAAGAATTTATGTATCATAACGCCATAGACGCTCTTAAATAATATTTTCCGTTCTTATACGTTTGTTGGACACATTCATATGATTTGTTTCACTTCGGTTATGAATTTTGGTATCACAGATTTGAAGCCATACATTACATTATGTACGTGCATCAGGGCTTTGTGATTGAAGCATTCCAGAATAAATTAGGAACTTCAAATGCTGGAGTGAACTTTTCTACCCGCTAACGAAATATGTCACAATGTATATTGACATTATATATATGTTCACAATTAAGGTGGTATTATAGACCATGGCTTGAATAATGCATATAATCGATATTTTGTTTATATGCTTACTCCTGTATGCTTCAATTTGTTGCTTTATTTTGTATTTGCCTATTTGGATCACGTCACCATTGCATATGGATCCTGTTCAATAATTTATTTTTATTTTTCTTGTTTTGGTAAGGATAAAAATTCTAACAAGGGCAACTCTTTATTAACAAAACATTTTGAACGAGCCATGGCCGCCAATGTTTTCTGATGCCTTAAAAGACCAAGATGTTATACGAAATGAAATCTGGATTTTTTCCTCACTAGCTATTTTGTACATGCGTAAAAAACTGACTTCAGTTAGAGTTATTTCATTCAAAAATGTTTTAGAGTACACAATTACAGCCTCCTAAACGCATTTAAAAATACTCAATATGTATCAATTACAATTTATATAAAAAGGTCTAATAATTCACAGCAATTTCAAAAATATATTACGAAATAAGGGGTTACGAGAATACAGTGTTTTGTTATTATAAAAAACTTCTTACTTTATTCGTATTAAGTTCAGTAACAGGTAATAGAGCGGTACACGGGAAATTGTTTTGCAGCGTTAAATTAGAAACTCTCTGTGCAAGTCATTACATCGAAATAAATGTACCGCTATTTGTGATATAATATTGGTCCTGTTTCCTATGGGGGTAGTACCGGGAATTTTCAAAACACCGAATGACTTCTGAAACTGAGGAAAGGGAAAGGGATTTCGAAGGTAATTTCAACACGATCTAGGAGGTAAAATAAACTCCACAATGTTGCCTCTGGAGATAAGGCTATTACGCGTCCATTTCAGGGATGATGATCACGTCGGTTGATGATAGCAATATCGAGATGCCTAGTCCCGACTCCGATGCTCTCGACTGAACGAAATGTCAATGAGAAAAACCGAAATATCAAAATAACATTGGTTCTTTCGGCTGCTACAAAATTACTAGAAAAAAAGGTTTTTTGCATACTGGTAAATAAAAAGGGAAATAGTAACATTGAACGCAAACTTGAATCTCACTCGCAAATGAAAAAAACAAAACAAAAAGACATCTTCAGTCTGGGGAGTTGTACATGTAAGCGGTTGAAACTGAGGGCCCCGAAAAGTAGAATCTCTTTAGCTGATACGCACCTACAGGCTTACACGAGGATCAACCCTACCCATAGAGTTATTATAATGTACGCTAGAGGTTCAACTGGCGCTAGTGTGCTGTTGCAAATTGAAGCAGACAGCAAGCAGTCCCAAATTGACTTCCGGTAATGTATTTCTATGGAAAAAAAGCGAGTGCATTTCCTCGCTGCGCTCGATTAAAAGAGCAAATATCACGAACAATTCGTACCTACTAGGCACATTAGAACATTTCCCAGTCACGCAGATGAAATAATTGGTCAGTTACGACGTTTTTATTTTAAAATCGTGGCATGAAAAACGGTGCTAAAACTGTTTGGTACATGTATTTATGTGCACTGTCGGACACTGTTAGCGCGAACACGGCGTCGGCGCTTTCCAGCATGGGGGATATACGTGCCAAACGAACGAAGGACATGTGGAAAACGAAAAGAGACGGCAAGAACTACGCAGTAACACTGGATAAGTAACTCCTTGTGCTTGCAGACGATCAAAATAAATTGAAAGTCACGTAATATAGTCCAATTTGCAATAAATAAGTACTTCTTTATTCATTCTGCTCATGAATATGTGCGAAGATGCTTGTTCTGTGCTCAAATCATCACCCGCACGCTCCAAATCTTTGCAAATAGGGGGAGCCAGAGAACAGGTGCGCGATAAAAACTGCCCAACAAAGAAAATAATGAGAAAACACACCTTTCGTAGCCCACGTACTTTATTCTTTACGTTTCGAACGTTTTTTTTAGCAACTCGTAAAGATGCACGACGGGGTCATTTTCTTAAGTGAGAGGACAGACATATTAGCAATATATAAGCACCAACGGAATGCTGGCGGACTTTTAACACCCTCTACATTCCTTTCGATCGTTATTTTGCTTAGGATCGTCGGTCGTTTCTACATACCTGCTATGGAACAGAGGTTTGGGCCTGAAATATAGCGAAGTTTAACTTCGTTCAGTGGTAAAAGAAAAATGCTGTAACTGAAGCAATTACACTTTCACAATAGTATTAAAGGTGAATACTATGGGTACAACGGAAATAACAAGCGTTATTCATGTTATTTCCCGGCGACGAGACAAAATTCACGCGCGTTTTCCCATAGGAATACAAAGGAAGACTGGAAAAGTAGACTGCATGCTGTCTGCTTCAATTTGCAACCGAAAGTCCCGTAGACACTAGCGCCAGCTGAGCCTCCAGCGTTTGTTATAATAACTCTATAAATCAACCGAACGACAAATTAACCACCGGGGATGGTTATGCGATAGATGTAGCAATTATCCAGCTGATGCGGCAAAAACAGAGCACATTGAGGTCATATAAAGATCTGTGTTTATAAATTTTTCCCTCCTGGTAATTGTTATAGTGTGAAATATGTGCCTAAATTACATGCAGTGATGGATCATTACGGAGCACCATTTTCGTAGCTTGCAAACGCTAGGAGCGTTTGCGTCTTTTGCCAAGTTTTTATTAAACGAATGTTTAAAAAGGAAGGCGCCGCAAACTCAACACCTTTACTAAGACCAAGGAACGAGAAAGGGTTATGATACACCACCTTAGTGATCCCAGGTCTCAGGTTTTCAACATGCTGAACGTTCACTAGCTCACCCGCTTCTTATTCTGTCATTTCTAACAATACTAAATGTTCCTTCGAACAATTAAAAAAATCATAAAACAAAAGAATAAACTATTTTCGAAAAGAAACGTGCGAGTCATAGCAGACGTCAGGGATTGAAAAAAAAATACTAATTAGAACACAAAGTACTTTAAATTTGCTAACTTATTTTTTATTAGCGAAAATGAATATATAGGTGCAATTCGAAACAAGCCGAGTATCATCGAAAACACCTAGATCAAATAATTTTAGAACGCCTTGAAGTACTCGCGAAGACGAAGATTGCGCTAGTTGCAAAAACGCGGACGAAATGAGTTAGTCCGGGTTTTCGCATCACCGGACTTGCGCCTGCTGCACGAGTGGGAAATTTACGCACCCCCGTGCGTCCTACGTAGTTCAAGTCATGCTAAAATTAACTGATTTAGGGCTTTTCGGTGACCTCGACCAATTTTTAATTAGAACCATATTTCCCTGTTTACCAATGAAAAGCAATGAGTAAGTTTGAGGTAATTATTTTGCTATGTAATACCCTCTCACGAGGGCCTTTAGGGGTAATATGAATAAATAAATAAAAATAAATAATTGATATGTTTCTTGAAATTTCTGACGCCTGCCGTGGATGGAAGTTTGTATCTTAAAATAGTTCTTTTTTTTATTTCATCACCCGTCATCATTGAATGTTGTTAAAGTACTTTCAGGAATACGCGGTATATACGAGTAGCTTTTACTAAACCAGGCCGATTCAAAGGGTGTGGTGCATTTCATAAGGACATTTCATTGACCCTTCGGGAAAATATCATGATGCTTGACTCAAGAGGTTAAATTATCTTGATGGCGCTCCTGTACTGGGCCCCATTGAGTGTACAGTATTGATAAATAAATAATAATAAAATTTAAGACACTGATTGACTGTTTTTATAAACGGCACACCACTTCGCTATGTGTGAAATGCTTAAATTTACGCCTTATTTCAGTTTCCCCTCTTTTTGCTTTTGAGCAACCAATTCAAGAGGGTGAATGTAACTCTCCGGTCCAATCAAAAAGTAACGGTGCAAAACAGATATCACGTTAATGCAATACTGGATTGCATTCAAAAGACTGACTCGTAAGTAAAGGCTGAATTTTTTTTCTTCTGTTATCCTTTTCTTTTAGAACATAAGTAATCACAAAAGAAAGCGGTTCTGCAGCAATTAGTTTATTTGAAGCGTAATGAAAAGCTCATCCATGCGAACGGTGTAGCGCCCCAAAGTTCTTGGGGTCACAGATATCTCATCCTTTTTGCCACTAGATTGCACAACACTCGAGGAACAATATTATTTGATCTGAACCCCAACTCAACCGATTAATAAGGAATAGACAACTGAGTCTCCAGTCTTCATAGATAAAACAAAATTAGAGTTCAATGAAAACCTGGCATGTTTAGTCACTCCAAAACTTTGTCATACCACGCAGACAGAAGTCTTTTCCAAGCAGTGGAAAAGACTTCTGTCTGCGTGGTTATAATTTTAAAACAGAGTGTATTTAAAAACCAAACGGGAAAGAAATTATCAGTATTCACACAAAAAAAAAAAAAAAAAGAGAACTGGACAAAACTTAGCCGAGGAAATAAAGAAATACACATTTTCATATGTCAAACCTGATCGAAAGAAGACTCCGTGCACGGTCGTCGTTGTTCGATCACTGCTCAGTGTCGTGGAGCTCCTTGGTTGCCAGTACGGATGAGCTTGTAAGACCTTGGATGACCTAAGGCTTGTGGGATGTGCAGTGGAGGGGTGGCGTTTCCACCAAAGACCCAGGACTTTGTGCCGGACAATCCTTGATTGGACGTCACGGAGGCAGGCACCGGCATCCGTTCAAAGTCCTTATCGAATCTCGCTCGATTCAATGGCTCGCTTACACTTGCGGATTCGCGTGCGGATCCGCGCATCTGGAAATTCGATTTTGGAGCCGGATGGCAAAATCTAAAGGTCGCTGGCGGAAAATTTGGATGTGGGTCCCGGACTGATGCAGATTTTCCGCCAGCGACGAGTCGATTTCGCCACCCTGCTCCAAAATCCACTTTCCGCCTCCGCGCATACGCCTGCGAATCCGAAACTCTAAAAACACCAAAGGCCGTAGCTATCAAGATTTGAGGCAAACGAGATATAATATTTCTTTCTCACGTTTCGAACATGCGTCAGTGCGCTTCCTCACTACAGATTTGTATACTCCGTTTCATTATAAGTGCCAGCGTAGCACAGACTACAAGAGCGAGCTACGAGCTTTCAGTGTCCCTGTCAAACACGCGCCCCGGTGCAGTGCGACCATCTTTCAGTGGAAGATGCTTTTGCAAGCAGCATCGCCTTCGCTATCACGTCAAGTAAAACATACTTAGTAAAAGGAGACTATGAAAGAAAGCAATATAAATAACACAACTGAGAGGAATGTTTGATGGGACACTGAGTCCGTGACACACACACACACATATATACAGGGTGTTTCAGGGAACCCAGGCCAAATCGCTCCTACGAAAACTACACATTGCAACGAAAAAAGGATTGTGGCGTTTCGGTCATGGGCTAAGGGCCCATTTAGGAAAATTGTTAAAGTCCGGGATGATTAAGTTGTTAATTATTTTTGCGTAATTAACTTTTTTAATATTGTGTTTAAGAGCATGGTTTAAATTAGAAAACTGCTCAGCAACATTGAAAAGCACTGAAGCAACAAATTGCAGAACGAAAGAAGGCACGCGAAGCTGCGTCGCGCTGCGTCGCGCGATGAGAGCGGAGCAAAGGTTGGTTGCACTATCTCTCCACGGGGTGCGGTGCCGCCGGGGCTGAGATGCGCTCCGATAGCAAACCGAAACTTAAAAACCCGTCGATTTCGTGCGGTTTTTCAGAAAGCCGTAAAATGCTTCGCGTGCTTTCTATCGTTCTGCAATTTGTTGATTTAGTGCTTTCTAATGACGCTGAGCAATTTTCTGATTTATACCATGCCTTTAAACACAATACTAAAAAGTTAATTACGCAAAAATAATTAACAATTTAATTATCCCGGACTTTAATAAATTTCCTAAATGGGCCCCTGGCCCACGACCAAAACGCCACAAGCCTTCTATCGTTGCGATGAGTAGTTTTCGCAGGAGCGATTTGGCCTGCGTTCTCTGAAACACCCTGTATAAGGCGTGTTCTTATTGCACAATTCAAGATGCTGACAGATGTTTGTATTCGAACGTGGGACGTGCATAATCGCACGTTACAGCTCCGCTTTTATGGTCGTATTGCGTTTATGGGGCACCCAGCATAATATGGTCACGCCTTGCAGACGTGCGCGCGCGCGCCCACTGCCCGAGAGCAACGGGTCTTTAGTTAATGGGCATAAAAAAATAAAGAAAACAAATTACAGCTTGTGGCGTTAGCGTCCTATCGAAACGACAATATTGAATTCCTTTCAGCAGTTTCTTTTTTTTTTTATGTTGTTTTGCATAGCGCCCGGCTTTCAGCAACGTGAGGGAGCGTAAGAGCGCGCAATCAAATCACGACCTAAAAATATTCGATTTTACTCATTCAAAGCGCTTCTCGAAATTTGAGAGCTGCGGGCCTATTTAGTTTTTTTTTTGAGCTAAGCTGCAGGCACTTCAAGGTTGATTTACACTCGCTTTTATGACTCGCAGTGTTAAAATTTTTTTGAATGGTGTTCTTGACAATGCCTTTTTTAGGACAACGTTCAGAACATACGGATTGTGCGCGTTGACGAGGTAGCTAAGCAAGCGCCTTTACTGTATGGAATGGAATGTAAACAAAATCACAGTAAATAAATTAACACGTGATCAGAAGCTCGTTGTACGTATAGGCTAGACGATCTTTCACTCCGTATAATGCCCAAGTGTGCGGCGCCTTGTCCTTGAGTCTCCCTGATTTCTTTAACCCTCAGCTCAGATATGTGCTTTGTATTGCGTGTTGCAAAAATGCATCGGGTAGAGCAGATTTGTGAAAGCCTAAGGAAGTTGTTATTGTGCAAAAAAAAAAAAAACAAAAAAAAACATATAACATTGTCCTGATCCGTCCCTGCTCTCCCTAGCTTCAAACGTGCGTTCGTTAAAATCAACCCTTGCTTAATTCCTGCGCCTCGTACGAATGGCTGCGAGTCGACCGAATTGTATATATTTAACACTCATTAAACTCTTGTCTCCCTGGAAACGGTCTGCGGTGTAAAGCTAAGCTGCAAACTATTAAATCATTAACAGGATTCCATACTTGTAGAAACTAGCTTGCCCTCTGTCCTTTTGACCGTTTCCACAATGATACATTTAATGTCGAAACATTACAACTGGTTTCCAATTTTCCCAGTAACCTCTTGCAGAATTACATGGGCTGGATGTTGATACTGGACTACATTAAAACTGCCGGAGGAAAACTGCAGCAGCATTGGCAAACATTTAAGAACGAAGCAAAGTTCAGCCTTGAGGAACAAAAAGAATGGAAGGAACTCTGTTTGGATGCACTGGTAACAGAGGAAACAACGATGTATGCTCCTGCAGCAAACTTGTACTTGGAAAGATACTTTCCTCCGATCGAAAAAGAAAGAGTAAGATTTGATCACATTTGTCATAAGTTACTGATCATTTATAGATGTCTCGTAGCTCAATTATAACAATAATTTTGAGAGCTACCTACATAATTCGGGAATACACTTCTTAGCAATATTTTCGATCGTATGGGAATTCTCAAGCATGCCAGATTCCATGTTCGACAAGAAACTATATAAAAGAACGCCACAAATTTGCCTACCTAAATAAAAACAGTGACAAATATAAGGAATAAATGATACAACATACAATTATTCTAAACCTTCTGGGACTGCATTGCTGCTCGGATTTAGATGAAGCAGTCACGTACTGCAGAACATGTAACAGCAGCAGTCTTGAATTACGTTTCTAAATAGAAACATTTTCAGTTGCATGAAAACAAAACAAAACAAACAAACAAAATGTGAGGGAAGCCGGAGATAGCATTGCACAAGGACGACTTAGCGCCTGGAAGTGGGAACTAATAAGAAACGCAATTTGTTGGTAGTACCAGACCTGGGCACAACGGTGTAGTCATAGGTATACCGTGAGCGCCTACAGAGTAGCACAACCAGCCAGTCGTCCCTATATCTTTTGAGCTATGAAGGCGCTGAGTAATCAGACTATATTTTGGTTGTTGCAGAATCTAAGTACGCGTAGTGTTGTTTGGACACGACTACTATGGTCAAACTTTATAATCCTTAAAAACCGTGGCTGCTCTGTGACAGAGAAAGCGAGCACCCTCACGTGGGTCCACACCCTCAAGCTTCTGGAGCAGAACAACAGACATGTCGCGATCACTTGCAGGTGTCTGACGATCAAATGAAATATTTTGTGAAGGAAAATATAAAGAAGGATTGTCTTCCACTCTTTTCGAGATGGCTGTAGGCATGCACATTGCTGCTTACTGTTAATCACATAATTTCTTGAACACTTGACACCATTTTGAAAACAAACTTACTGAGTAGATGCAATGTCATTACAGCTTCGAACGATACACTTAGCAAGCGCAATATTTAGGAGACAACTGTGCAAACTCTACTATCTTAATCACAGTTAAAGGGAACATGGTAGACGCGGCATCAGGTACTATAACGGCACCCTAACGACCTGGCGTGCGACTGCCGCGCATGCACATCGAGCGTGTGACAAGAGTACACTCTTATCGCGTCATCGGAGCGCTTGCCTGTCGTCTGCTCCGCGCGATAGTCTTCATTGTGCGTTGCATGCTACGCGGAGCATCTCGTGTTGGAGCTGTGGGATGAAACTGCGTGTAGATGGAATTATCCCACCAAAATCTACGTAATGAGCATTCGAATTTTTCTTACAAGTTGCAACTGCGACGCATATATTGTATTTATTTGAAAAATAAAGGAAACGTGTCTCTTGCTAAAATTGAACTTGAGGAAGGTATATATTTGCTCACATTTGCACTGCTGTCAGAACAATTGCAGCACGTCATCATAACTACAGTTCCGGAAGCGGACAAACAAAAAATCATTCAGCTCGCTCAAAAAAGGAACTCGCAGCGGGCCATCGGGGCTTTCGTAAATAGGTCCGTAAACACGGTCAACGTCATCATTCAAGCTTTTTGTTATAAAAATCGGGTCCACGATGCATCTCGGTGGTATTCACCATAAGCAACGACCGAGGACGAAGACCGTGATTTGCTGCTGCTGCCTCCTTTCTTTCTGCCAGAGAAATCTAAGAGCACCTTGAAATCAGACAGCACCTGACACTAAATGCTCTCACACGCGACAGTTCGTCGCAGATTGAGGAGCACCGTTTTGCATAGCGCCATGGCAGCGAAGAAGCCGAATCAGAAGAAGCAGAAGAAGCAAAAACTTTCAAATAATGGGGCGGGGCTTCGCTTTGCAATGGGACAGGCCTCGTGGACGGCGGATGTCAGCGGCCGGGTTGGTTGACTTTCTCCACGAGGCCGGATGAACGTGTATGTATGTGGCGGCCTTGCGCTACACGGTACACGTATTCTGTTGAAGATCTAGTGAATTGTTTTCATCGCAGAAGTGTTTTGTCTTTCATTGCTCGGACCCACTTCTGTCGCAGGTACTTCTCGGTCCGAAACCAACTCACTCAACTGCATTTCTTCGTGGTGTTATCACACTCCACAGCCAATCACCGATTTTCTGGCCCTCCATCAAATGCCGCTAACAGCCTCAACCAGATCCAAAAGGCAAAACCACAGACGCTCAATCTCCCTACAACGCACAAAGCCTTGGAGTAGGGAGCGTCGTCTGCTCTCGGGTACAATATTTGACGTCATCAGAGTCCCTGCTCGTTGTTGCCAGCAAAGGGGCAGCTAATCATTTGGAGGTGTACGCATAAACGTCAAAATTCTTTTTTCTGGAAGGAAAATTAATATTTTGGTTTAATGCCTCGTAGACGTACTCACTGTTTAATATTTAGTATATTGTGAAATATTTGATACAAATCAATGACCATTAATATTTTGCCGGAGTTCCTCAACCGGAAATGTTTTCGTTATATTTGCCTTGCAGCGTTTCTTAGTTAATGCTAAGGACAATTTTTGTGCGTCAGATCGTATTGCCCTCGTGCATGCTGTCTTTCGTTTGGACGGTCCTGGATAGGACTGAACAGGACTGAACCGGTTTCGTAAGGCCGCGGCAAGATGACCGCCGTGCTCTTTCGCTCTGATTGTTCGCTTGTTACGTTCACTTTCCCTCTTAAAGAAGGATAAGACTCTTCTGGCACGCTTCCTATAACGCGCCGCTGGAGTGGAAGAGAAGGGGATGAAGCGGCAGTGGCGTTTACACAACGTCCACGACAACGTAAAACCGAGGCGCAGTGACGACACCGTTTGCATGAAGCCGCGCACACCCGGAAAGAAAGATTGGCTTTTTTATATGACAAATGTACGCGGACCGGAGGCGGCGGTAGAGAAGCTGTGATGGCCGCATTTGAAACCGGCGGCGCCCGGGAGAACAGATAGAATCTCTAAGTTCGAGGTTCGAATTTCCGTCCTTCCCTGGATCGGAACCCCTACGCTAAATGCTAACGTATTTCGCCAAGATTAGCGGAGCGAAAGTTGGGATATCGGCCTTTTTTTTTTTTTTCTATACTCTGGGCTTAACTGTCTAGTTGTGATCTTCTTCGCTCCTGGCTCCTCATATTTCTGCGTCACATTTTTGTGCAGTGCTGGAAAGTTAGTGTGGCAGTGTACGTACATTGCTCGATTAAAGTCGATATGATTCTGAAGGTACGATCCTACTTAAGTGCAGCGCGTCGCTGGGATTGCGAGGATATCCGTCAACATTTGGGGCGGCATCTACAAACGGAGCCTCGGTTCTCATCCACGTATCGTCGGGAGGATTATGCTAACCCCACACATGCGATGTGGGGGACACTGTTTTCATACCTTACCTGCACAGTGGTCTTTTACCGAATGAAAACTTCCTCTTTCAGTAGGACTTCGCTTACGTCCACGCGGTGCGCGCAGAGGTCGGCATTTTAGGTTTCCCTCACTCACCCTCACCCTCACAGCCACACTCACCTAAGCCCCTCACTCAACCTCACTCTCACCCTCACAGCTACACTCACCTTCAGCCCTCGCTTACATTCATCCTCACAGCCACACTTACCTTCAGCCCTTCACTCACCTTCACTGAAACTCACGGCCCTCACGGCCCTCACGCACTCATGGCCCTCACTCCTCTCGCCGCCCTCACGGCCCTCACGTACTCATACCCTTAACGCCCCTCACGCACTCATGGCCCTCACGCCACTCACCGCCTTCACACCCCTCACTCACTCATGGCCCTCACGCGCCTCACGCACTCACTGTCCTCACGGCCCTCACGCCTCATACCCCTCACGCACTCATGGCCCTCACGCCACTCAGGCCCGCTTGGGATGGGGTAATTTCGCCCAGAAACTTGACGTCGCAGCACCAGCAACGCGGACATCATCATGAAATTCTATTTTCTTGCACTTTTTAGACACAGAATTACGCGCTATTAACGTGTTTTTAAGCATTTAAATTTCTTTAAGAATATGCATCTTTCTGACACCGTTTATTTCCAAAAACGATACATTTCAAACCAGAACCAAGTCTTTTGTTGTCATCATCACCGGCACAAGGTATCACGTGAAAATATCGCGTTCCTGATTGAACGCAGCCGCTTCAAACGTCTTCGAATTGCTCCGAGTTGCTCACTTGTTTCGAGCCGGACCCGACCCCAGCAATTCGTGTTGATCTAGGGAAAGCTAGGGAACAACCCGCAAGCAACACCAACATTTGGTGTTGCTGGCGGTGTTGCAGCTTTTGACGGGGTGGGCAGGGTGGCATCGCCAAGATGACAGTCGTTAAGCACTTCGTGTTCATTGCACATGCACTGCTGCTTCTGCCGCCGCACTGGGCCTGTGACCCCGTTAAAAGCTGTCCCGCAGCGATTCATCGAGTTGAGTGCATCGTCACGGCTGATAACAAGGAAACAGCGACTGATACAGAGCGAAATTTTCTTCGGTGGACCTTCAACGAAAACCTGGAATTCTCAAGATTCACATCGCCATCGACATCGGCTACCTCAGCGCCAGCGCTACCAAGTACAAAAGACCACTTGCGATCTGCACTTCCTGTGGGCAGGGTGGCATCGCCAAGATGACAGTCGTTAAGCACTTCGTGTTCATTGCACAGGCAATGCTGCTTCTGCCGCCGCACTGGGCCTGTGACCCCGCTAAAAGCTGTCCCGCAGCGATTCATCGAGTTGAGTGCATCGTCACGGCTGATAACAAGGAAACAGCGACTGATACAGACCGAAATTTTCTTCGGTGGACCTTCAACGAAAACCTGGAATTCTCACGATTCACATCGCCATCGACATCGGCTACCTCAGCGCCAGCGCTACCAAGTACAAAATACTACTCGCGATCTGCACTCCCATGTGGGCATGGTGGCATCGCCAAGATGACAGTCGGTAACCACTTCGTGTTCATTGCACAGGTAGGAAAACGCTATCCTTTCTGTTACCGTAGCAACAAC